CTATATCACTGCATGCGGATGACGATTAAAAATTTATAACAAAGATGGGCATTTCTTAACTGAACTACGAAATGGTATAATTGCATTGGTGTTTACTAACATAAAGTAAAATTATTAAGGGTTTAAGATTTGGACTTGATAAAGCTCAGATGCTTTGACAATCCTACAACTTATACAGTTTCCTTGGCAAAGTTTTCTCTCTTAATTTGGAGCATCCAAACATTTTCATGAAAAATAAAATGAACTTAATTATTTAGAGTGAAGCACGGCTTTTCTATTCAATATTAATGTGAAGTACGTTATTTCATATCTGAGGGTATCTATTCATGTATGTGCAATAGTGAGAGGTTATACTCGAACTCTCATGGATGGAGATGAGATAGTTATTGCAGGTGGCTCTTGTGTGTTTGGACTTTGGACAAGAAGGGGTGGCTAGAATCATATATATTCGTAGGGGTGTCCATCAATCGATCCAAAACGATTCAAACCGATAATCGAATTAATCAAAAATCGAAAAATCAAAAATCAAAAAAAAAATCTGCATATTTCAATTGGATTTGATCAGTTTTCGATTTGGTTGGTGAAAACTGATCCAATGTATTATATATTTATTATTTTCAAAAGATAGTGACTTGGAATCTTGTTGTTTTTGTAGACTTGAAATTTTGGATTATTGATAGCAAACTATCTTTTTAGTTTTTTTTATTGTCTATTAATTTATTTTAACTCTTCATGAGTTTTAAGACTTGTTTTAGTTTGAAGACTTGAATTTTTCAGTAGCTTGTAACTTTGAATAACTTTATTTTGATATAGCTAGTGACTTGTATAACTGCAATTTTAAGCTTTTTAAAAAATTAAAAACCGATCCAATCCAAATCAAATAAAATTGGATTTTAAAAAAAAACAAACTGAATGGATAATTATCAAACCAAAGGGATTGGATCAGATTATTTTTCCTTCAAAACCAACCCAATCCAGATCGCGATCACCCTTACTTATTCCTTCTCTCCAATAAGGGGAAGACCTTTGCTTATGTATAATAGCATGGAATAATGACTTTGCTGAGAGGTTGAGATATGAGTGGGGCATAAATCTAACGATTAGGGATGCAAATAGGTAAGACGAACTTACAGTCTTACTTATATCAGGTCAAATTTGACCTATTATGTCTAATAAAATAGAACATGCTTAAGTCTTAAAAAAAGTCTATTTAGAAAGCAGGCATAGACTTTCTTTTAGTAGGCATAGCCTACAAGTTAGCCTATATCATATTATTTATTTTAAATAAAATTATTATTCAAATAACTTTGAATAATAAAGTAATATTTTTTAGATTATTTTTTTAATTCTTGAATGCCTAATATGTTTAAATATGATTAGGCTAGATATTTTGTTTTTTAAATATAAAGTAGATCAAATTTATAATTTGGCTTATATCATACTAATAGACCAGATCAGACTTAAAATATTATATATATATCTAATTTATTTAAGCCAAAATTCGGCTTAACTCAGTCCATTAATATCCCTATTAATAATTTTCTTAAAAAGAGATGTCATTTGGCTTAATATTTATTAAATGGAAAGTGAATAAAGAACTCATGTGGAGGGACCAATCCATAACATTATGATAATAACAATTAACGTATTAGATATGAGAGAGAGATATACTTGACAAGTTGACGTGGCACGCACTGAGCAAAGAATATACTACTTTGTGATAGATCTTACAGGGACTAGGAAAACATGCCCTTTCTTTCTTTGAGTACGTTCAATATGGTGTACTTTTCAAGCGTGTCTCATTTTTATGTATTGGGGTGTGGGGGGCCAGCCTCAAAAAGTAAACATAGCTAATGGTATGTTAAAAGGGTTGAATTGATATACTGATATATATGAAGTGTTGGTTGCACCGAAAAAAGAAAAAGCCACTACAGATCCACACCTTAAATTAATGGACCAAATTATTTGATCCATCGCGTCACATGGAATCCAAGAAGTTTTGACACATTGATTTATTTTTCTGTGCAATATCTATATTAAAAATGTGTGTACATTATCTTCAAAAAAAATTTGTGTACATGTAACTTTTCCCATACTCAATGAGTGAGTACTACTGATGATGAAAGTGGATTGAGCTGGATTAAGTTTTGTCTCTAAAAATCTAAATCTATGACAAAAAAATTTAATTTGATTTGGCTTGATAGTATAGTATAAGTCTAACTGTTAGTCTGGCCTTACTTTTTTATAAAAAAAAAAATGGCCTAACCCATTAGCCTGTTAATTTTTAGCTTCCAAGCAGAATCATGAATCACAATACTCAAATTTTGTTGTTAAAACAAAAATCACAATTTCAACGTTCAAATAAAATCATGAATCACAGTAACAACTTATCACAATCTACATTTAAGTCACTTTCAGAAGCAAGATACCTAAAGTAAATAACATATATATTTTTTTTACCAAAAAAAAAAAACATATATTTCATCAGATCCAACAAATCAATCTATACTATGTGAATTAAAATAACTGCATGGATCCAACAAATGCATCATGATGCTTGTAGTAGCCAAAAACTTCTCATCATCTTTTCTCCCTTGCAAATACAATTCCAAGGTTACATAAGTTGGCAAACAATTTGTAAATGTAGAAAATAAAAAACAAAATTAAAGAATAGAAAAAAAAAAAAAAACATTTTTATACCTTTTGTTTTTTCTTCAAGCCATATTTATTTATTACGTAGCCAATCTCTACCATATATTAAAACTTGAATGGTATCTTCAACCAAGGTAGAACGATAAGCATTAAAAACTTTTCCTCTAGCACTAAATGTTGATTCTGATGCTACTGTAGAGATTGGAACAAATTTTATGCCACTTCCAAAGATAGTATTGGTGGGGATCGAACTTAAGTCCTTCCACCACCTACTCAGCTCACATACACCAGCTGAACTATCACATTTGATACTACTATGAATAATGATATTTATTTAATTTAAAATAAATAATATGATATAGGCTGGCCTGTAGGTTTATAAGTCTGGTATTTAAAAAAAAAATTATGACCTGCTTTCTAAATAAGTTTTTTTAAAAGTCTAAACCTGTTCTATTTGATTATATGAAATAGGCCGAGTTTGGCCTGATATAGACAAGGTCGTACGTTCCGGTACGCCGATTCGACTCACTAACACCTCTACATGAGTGCAATGAACGCATGGGAAATCACGTGTGAGTGAGGGCATGTTTGGTGCACAGTATATGATAAGGCTTGATAGTATAAGTCTGATTGTATAAGACCTGATTGAATTTTAATATTATCCAACGTTTGGCATGGTATTTTAAAAAATAATATATTGTATAAGATAATAACATCTAATATTTGGTAATGCACTGTATAATACTATATAGGATAAAAAGAAATATTTTTAATAAAAATATCATTTAATAAAGAATTTATATAATTCTTCAAAAAATGTCTTATGATATTAATTTTTATAAAAATCTATTGATCAGTGTGTCCGAAAAATAAATTTTTATAAAAAAAAATTCAATATTTTAAAAATTAATATATTTAAAAATTAAAAATATATTAATTTTTATTTTAATATATTAATATTAAAATAATATATTAATTTTTGAGAATTGCACTGGTCAACAATGTTAATACACTAACTCCTTATCAGACCTAATCTCTCTTCCTTAGGCCGGATTAAGTTATACATTGTGTTGATGTATTAAAGGATTCTGCTATATAAGCTTATACTATACGATGGTCAGACCGATGGTTACACCAAACAACTGAAAATGTCATAACGTATAGTATAAGCTTATACTATCAGGCCTTACACGTTGCACCAAACAGGCCCTGAGTGTCTTTCATCGTTCTTCCTGTTTAGCCCTTTAATCTTAGGAGGAAAAGTGTGACATTTAAAAGGATACAAGTTGTGTTTTTTCGCTCTTACAAAGAGATGATATCCATTGAATAAATACAAAAAAAAGTATGAAACCCATATCTCTTTGTGAGAGTGAAAGAACACAACTTGTGTCCTTTTAAATGACATATCTTTTTCCCTTAATCTTATTATCCAGTGCCATATATTCATGATTGCTTATCTTTATTTATCTTTCCCATGCTAAAATTTCCTAATTACAGTTTTTTTTTCGTTGTTTTCCTTCAAAATTCAAGCAGTTTACGAAGTAGAACTTGAGATGACCAACTTATCAAACAGTTACGCAAATGGTGTTTACACATCCATCTTTTAAAATATAAAAAATAACAATTATAGAGATAAACAAAAATGGGGACTTATAATTAAAAGAGTTTTTTAGTATTGTAATTCAGAAAAAGAGAAAAAAAAAACAACCACATAGGTGGACATTTGATTTAAAAATAAATTATAATAAATTAAATGGTCGCTTCGATTTTTCTTTTTCTGTGCCTATTTTGGGTGAGTACTTATTTCTACATTATATGTTTTTTGGCCATTATTTCTTCAATACAATTTTACATCCAAAAGAATGTTTAAAATTTTTTCTAAGCGTTTCAAATACATGTGATCATTTAGGACTTGTAGACAACATTAGCCCACACTATAGTTGAGGACGGCCTATACCTAATTGGGTCCGCTGAAAGGTATGTAAATATGTAATGGCCTTTAAGTGGTTGTTGATTGCAATTGATTGAACAACAATCCAAGTTGGGCATGGGAATAGGCCTTGAACATAAGTATATGATTGATTGTCTTGTCTATTGCAAGTTGAAAATTTCAAAGGCCTTTTCATTTATAATCTATCTTGAACCCATTTATGGCAGTAAGGCACTGTCGTCAAAGAGAATTCAAACGAGTTTTAAAAATCAGTTGAATTCTAAGTGGACTATTCCAAAATGTGAGGTTTCAAAGAGAATAACAAGCGTGGATTTTGGATGCACCAATGGAATTTGATGACCAAATTATACGTAATGAATATTTGGTCAGGTGAATGTTTTATAGAACAAAACTCCACATCGCTTAAAATTTATTCAAGGCACAGCGGTATCACATGGTTTCTAAAATCACTTTTCTCTGGGTGTAGCCGTAGCATAACAATAGAACCAATGTAGCAATTTAATGAGATATGCAACATGTTCCTTAAATATACAGAATCTTCGATGCATGCATCAGTAATAATAAGACGAATTTTACTTCAAAGTGTGCTCATTTAAATACAACTCAGCAACAGCAGTGTGCAAAGCTGCCCCTATTGGAAGAACTTCCTCATCAAGAAAGAATAAAGGGGAGTGTGGGGAGTGAATTGATCCCACTTTCTCATTTCTGATTCCAATGTGATACAATATTCCAGGAATCAATTCTTGATAAAATGCAAAGTCTTCACCTGCCATCACCTTCTTGGATGCATGGACATTTTCTGGACCAAGAAGAAGTTGGCCAACTCTTTCCACATGCAGATGTAAATCATTGTCATTGACAACAGCTGGATATGGAGTGTGGTCCTCTTCTTTGAAATCAACATATGCATTACATCTGTGCACAGTTGCCTGTCCTTCAATAACCTGCAAGTATTTCCTAACAATATAAGCTAAACAAAATTTATAGAACAAAACTACTGAGTTTACTGTTGGTCCTTTTATTACCATGGACAGAGAAGTATGAACAGCCCACATGAATCATTAAAATCTAGACAGTAAAACAAAAACAATACAGCAAAATAAGCAAGGAAAGGTAGAGGAGTATGTAATACTTGAATCACAATTCAAGGACTTATATATTCAACTCAATTGAATCTTCACAGCTGAAAACATAGTAGCAGAAAGAAAATATTGGAAATGTAATGCCTAAGTACATAAGCTATACTGGTTTCACCTTAATGGCAAATTAAGGATGGAAAAGAAAATATTTTATTGAGAATGTAAAAATAAATAGATTGGCCACAAATGAGCATTGCAACAAGCAGCAAGCATAATAATTAACACCACTCAGGTGGGTATAGACTAATTCTCAAGTTCTTTTATGCATTTTCTCTTGATGACAAAGAAATACACTCTTGCTATGCATACATGGAAAAAGATGCAACTTAATAAGGATCCAAGGGAACCTGATTTGATGACCAAACCAAAGTTGATTTTTACTGAATCACAAAGATGGTGCAAACTACAGATGAACCAGAACTTCCCAGAAACTTGTTAACATTTCTTATTGATATTAATGATGTCTAAACTGGTCATCATGCATACCTCCTTTAATCTCTGTCTGAAATGGTACATGCCTTCAGTTGTCTGACTCCTCAGAGTGCCTCCAAATTTTACATAGGATGGGATCACATTTAACGCAGTCCCACCTTTGACATAAGTAACTGATAGCACCTGTGGACAATATATGATAGTCAGGGGCCATTACATCAAACCGGAAGTTTTAGTAGCTTTTTGTTTTCTGACATAGCTAAACAGAATAGTAGAAAGCTTTTAGAAGAAAAATAGCATAAGCCAAGACCTGATAGAGTAAACAATTTTTTTTTTCTTTAAAAAGAAAGAAAGAAATTCCCCTACACTTCTAGCTTTATCAAACAATCAGGTGCCAAACAGAAAAACCAGGGAAGAAAAGAGGATGCATGAAGACAGATCCACAACAACGGACTTGAACAGAATTTTGGAAAGTGACTCATTTAAATTTGTGGCAACTAAATGCTATGGATAAATCTGCTTACGAAAGTCAAAATTGAGAGTAGTGCATACTTCACTCTGAAGAGGATTACTTTCTCTTGAGACAAGCTGTTGCAGTGCTAATATTGCAAATGATGTAGCCAGCACTGGATCTACATTCTTGTGGGGTGATGCAGCATGACCACCTACTCCTACAATTTTTGCCTCAAAGATGCATCCAGCAGCTGTAAAAGGCCCTGGAATGGATGCTATGGCTCCAGTAGGTGTCTTACTATCAATATGAACAGCAAAAATTGCTTCTACATCCTGAAGAACTCCTTCTTTTATCACTTGAGAGGCACCACTAGCTCCCTCCTCAGCAGGTTGGAAAAGAAGTCTCACAGTTCCCTTTAATACCAAAGAGTAGGGTGACAATCTTCAAATGACAGGTTTTGAGTAGTTATGCATGAATCAGAACCTCAAAGACACAAACAAAGGAAAACATCTACTTATATCTTAGTGAAACAGCGCTTCAATAACAGACAAAAGGCAATTCAATTGCTTCTAGATTATTAATTGACTTATTTCATTTGAAAGCAACAAATAGCTGAACATTCAGTAAGTCTGAACTAGCTGGAACTCTACTAGTTAACACATTTTGAACTTCACGCAATTCTACTTTATCTAATCTTTTTATCATGGATGCAGTTCCCTTTCTATGAATTTGTGACCTGTAGCATGTCATCTGATCCAGAGACTGGTGGTATTGAAGGAGGAACATACAGATATACAGACACATGCTTGAGAGACACAGGTATAACTTCAGAACCAGATGGAACCCAGGAGTCACAAGTATCACCTGCACATATATGATGGGAAGTACCAATTTAACTTTCAAACTGGCATTGTAGCCCAAAGTTGTGAAGTAGAGTTGAAATCCAAGAGAATCTATTAATTTCTACTCACTTTGATGTGATCTCTACCAACTTCTGCAAGATTAGGTAGTTATCTTATCTAGTGGGGCTGAGATAACTGAATATCTAGATCTAGGCATTTTGGCTGTGGTTATCCCAAGCCCGAAATCCAGTACAGCACACATACCTTAAAGAAGGTTTACTCAAGGAAAGAAGGGATCCTATCAGAAATAAGAAGCCAGCACAACTACAACTTTAGCAATCTGAAAAAGAACAGTTATTTTCTGGATGTGAGATACCTAAAAATGAAACAAGAAGAGAAAGAAATAATGTAGGATATCCAAGCTACATTTAAGCTGAACTTGGAACATGTCCAGAAAGAGAAATCCTTCCCAGAACAGTAGCGCATCTTTCCATGCCTCTATCACCATGCTTTGAACAAATGATTGTTTGGAATGGCCAAAAAGAAGCTCATTCGGGGGAAACTGATCGTGTAACTTACCTTGGACAGCAGAAAAGTGAAATTGTTTGATGTTTACTAGCTTTTTGGCTATATTCAAGTAAGCATACAATGGAGGCTGCTGATCAATAAGTTGTAGAAGATGAAACAAGCTGAGAATACTAAAGCCCTGAAGCTTAAGCTAATAAGTAAAGATCACATTAATGGTCTTATATATTATATCTCTAACATACTTCTCTTTAACACAACCTCTATGTTCTTCAACATGAACTACCCAGAGTTGACTTTTGGAATCTTTCGATTAATGGGCCTTCATTTAGAAATCCACAGCTACCCAAGGGAATTTGGATTTTTCCTATCACGAAATAGGCAACATACCAAAGATTCAAGATTTTTTCACTGTACAATCAAGGTAGGACTTGGGTTCTGACTCTATGAATGATTAAATTTTGATGCAAGGCTGTTAAGAATCCCCTTAAAAAAACAAACACCATAAACCTAAAAAATCCACCCAAATTAGCAAACTGGGAATATGAAAAGAACCTGAAATTTATCTTGCCGCTGCTTCAGCAACTTTGCAGCCCCAAGTAGCATTGTCGTGTGAGCATCATGTCCACATGCATGCATTCTTCCGTCAATTTTGCTCTTGTGTTCCCATTCAATAAGCTCCTAAGCATCACCAACATCAAATCAATAATTCAATATATGTATATATAGAAAAAGATCTGTCTACAAATTTTTTTTTTATAAATTACACTAAGTTTGATCGGTCATACACTCCTCGATTGAAGTATGACTAGTTTGTAAATAAAAAATTTTTAAATATAAGATTCCCATATATATGTACACACACAGAAGGGTTCTTTTTACTCCAAAAGTAAGAGTTACGAGTCTTGAACACCATTAGAAACAAATAAACTGTGTTTACCTGCAAAGGGAGTGCATCCATGTCAGCCCGAAGAGCGATGATGGGACGAGAACCAGAGCCAAGTTGAGCAACGATGCCGGTTTTTGCAACTGGGTATGTGTAAGGTATGCCAAGCTTGTCAAGTTCTCTGCAGATAAGAGTACTGGTTTCGTGTTCTTGGAAAGCCAGTTCTGGGTGTTCATGAATCTTCCTTCTCACTGAAACCAACCAATCTTTGTCCTTTTGAGCTGCACTTGTAATCTCTTTGGCATAGCTACGATCCTCCTCAGAACTGAACACAACATCAAGGGAAATGGATGTCACAAACAGAACAAGCAGATGAATCGCTGCCATCAAATATACACTCATCTCTCAACACTGAACTCAATTAAGATTTACAACTATGCCAACGTCAAGTTATTTTTGTTGCCCACTGGTTGACCCACATTGATAATCGATTGTTATCTTTGACAAGAGAGGAAGGTTATATTTATCAATTTTTTTATAACCTGTTACAATTATATATTAATATTGTTGATTTTCGTCGATTAACGGTATCATTTATTGTGAATTAATAAGTTTAATTTACAAAAATCGTAACGTTGATTGACGAAAATCAATGGTGTAACAGTGAGAGGTTGTAAAACAAAGAGTTGTAAATATAATCTTCCTCTTGATAACAATAACATTTATTAAACGAAGAGCTAATAGCATGCCAAATAAAATAAGGGAAAAATGTGTGTTCTTTTAACGGACACAGACTTATATCCTTTTATGAGAGATAAAGGAACAAATAATGGGAAGAGAGAGTGGAGAAAAAAATTTATAATTTAAAATTCAAAAAAACACACTATATTAATCTAAAATGACCATCCTTTTAAATGACAAACACTAAATCCATGAAATAAAGAATAAATATCTTTTTTGGTCTTATCAAATTTCACGATACCCGTTTTAGTCCTTAGTAATTAAGAAAGCTATTTGTGGTCCCTAAGAAATTCAAAATGGATCTATTTAGTTGAAATCGTGGTCCCTCACAAATTCAAAAAAGACTCATATTAGTCCTCAAAATGACTAAAATGGAACCACTTTGAATTTCTTAGGAACCACGAATAACTTTTTTATTTGCTAGAGACTAAAGCGGTCATCGTAAAATTTGCTGAGGACCGAAAATGGTATTTACTCTAAAATAAAAGATATAATAAATTTACATATACTATTGCTATTAAATTGAAATTGGTGTACCTTTAATTTTATGATTTATTATTAATGAACTATAAATTATAGGGTAATGGTAATGTATTGAATAAATAAAAAAGTATTGAATAAATACCCTCTGTCTTCTCGAGTTTTATTGAAATTATTTTAAATTAATATTTTTAAAAATTGAAGTAAAAATGGTCAAACCAAAGTAGAAGACAAGTCATCAACGATTATAATTTATTGGATCAAAATTATTAATTAATTAATAATAAATTTGGCTCACTAATTTTGACGCAATAGATTATAACCGTTGATAGACAGAAATTAACGGTTATGATATAAAATAATATAAGCTTATATCCTTTAAAATGATAGATGTTTTTCCCATGCAAAACATCTGTCAGTTTAAAGAATATAAGAGTGGTCCGAATGTTCTAAAATTTTCATTTAAAAGTTACATTCCTCTAATATTTAAATAGGGTAATGTAACTCTAATGACAAGAAAACCATTTCCATGAAAATAAATATGCAAAAGTTTGCTTTTCTCCCACAAAAGTAACCCCATTTAAATATGGTTTAATTTTTCTTATGTTGTTGTTGGAGATAAATTTATCTCCTAAACACACATGAAAGTATATGAGATTCATGTTTTTTTTTTTTCTCTCTCTTCTTTTTACATGATCCCACATGGGCCTCATATATTTTTTTTATGTGTATAAGAGATAAAATTATCTCCTATAACATGAGAAATATTAATTCCTTTAAATATTATTAAAACAAGGGTTCATTTTTTTCTTCTGTCAATATTGATAAATTATATACATTAAGTCCAAAAAGATGTCATTTTGAACAGAAATCAAGGTATTTTTGTAATTATAATTTATTTTAGGATTATAATAATTTTTTTATTATCATTTTCAACCCAAAATAATATCACTTTAATAATGAATATAGATAACTTTACTGTAGAAAGAAACACCCAACATTAAAGTGGTTGTTATTATACGCATAGTTCATCCCACTAGTTGGATTCTGAAGCTTTGGATTTGCAAACAGAATTAAACAATTGTTGTGATTCCAACGGCAAGACCTATGCTTGTTCATTAACTATTGGCGACAAGACCTATGCTTTTCATTTTCATTATTATAATTTATTATTGCTCACAAAAAGTTATGGATTTTCTTTTTAGACTTGTATTATCAAATATATTTCTTGGTTTTGTGGCATTTATTTTTGTAACAAGGTTTCAATTTGTGTACCAATTTAATCGTAGAAGAACACACTACGAATGCTGCCTAAACTGACACCCGGCAAAGGGTTTTGTGGCATTTATTTTATTTCACTTTGCTATTAATAAATTTCTCAACTTTAAGTGGATGCTGATATTGCACAAAGAATTGGGAACTCTTCTTATTATATCCAATCCCTTCGGTTTGATCATATAATCATCCATTCGATTTTTATTTTTTTTCAAATCTGATCCGATCCAATCTAATTTTTTTGGGTTTGGATTGGATCGGTTTTCGATTTTTTGAAAATCTTAAAATTTATTTCATGATTATTGTGCAAATAACATCTTTTGTATATATTGGCTTTGTAAATTTTTTTTTTGTTTTGAAATACAAAAGCATTAGTAAACTATAATATAATTTTTTTAATTTTGGCAATGAGATATGAAGTTCTACAAAGATAAAATTTTGTTGATGTGATATGACTAGATTTTTTCTTGAGTTTAGTTGATGAGTTAATGAGTTTTAGGTTTAAAAATTTTTAGGCTATGATTAAGGAAATACCCAAGTAGGTAAAGGAAAATTAATATATTGGATCAGTTTGGATTGGATCGGTTTTCATCAACTTATCCAAAAACCGATCCAATCCAATTAAAATTTACGGTTTTTAATCGGTTTTCGATTTTTCGGTTTTCGGTTTATTCGGTTATCGGTTTTTCGGTTCGGTCACCGCAGTTTGAATCGGTTTGGATCGATTGATGAACACCCCTACTTCTTATGGCCTTAGGAGTTATAACTTAGAAATATAACTCCTTTCTTGACACACAACTTGAATGTAGGAAATAAAAAATTTCAAATTAGCGGATTAGTTCGACTTACCTAGTAAAATCGCAAACTTATAATATTGAAGAAAAAAAATACTTAGGTGAAGTTCAATATCTAAGTTCTAATGTTTATAGCAAAATGGTATTTCGTATATTGCATATTCAATGAAGTAAAATTAATATAGGAAAATAATAGTCTCATGTATTATTAAATTACTATCTTATGTCACAGACACTTCGATAATTATGCTGTCATTTTTTTTTCTTTTTCTTTGTTTTAGTGATAGACCTCATCACTTTATGTCTTAGCATAAGATATGTTATCTCCCTCTTCCAATATGAGAATAGACAAGTCCATTAATATATATACAAGATTTTATAAATGTAGGGAAGGAAATTAATTTTGATTAAAATTTTGAGGAAGGTTATACTTACAATCTATTTTTGTTTACAACCATATCTTAAGCGTTGATTTTCGTAATCAACGATTATCATTTATTGCGAATTAATAATTAATTAATGAACTTGATTTGCAGAAATAATAACTGGTGATTAGTGAAAATCAACGACTAAAGTATAGTTGTAAGAGATTATAAAAGAAAACAGATTGTAAATATCACCTTCCTCTAAAATTATATATGAACATAAACTTCGGTCTTCTTTTCCCTCCTCGACAGCTTGCGGCAGTTTCTGCAGCACATATCTTAAAATGAGAGAGACGCTTAAGAGTTTATAGAAATAAATTCAATACAGACTTTAAAATGCTTAAATGAATAGAATTAATAAATATAATCGATGCTAATAGGATTCATGAGAATCCATGCACTTGTGTGAGAATGATATCATAATTATTACCTACAGTGCTTGTAACTTGAAACTATACATGACAAATGCCGAGTGGCAGTGCTTCTCCTGAATTGTAGAGAAAGCGACGATTAAATTGTGGATGGAGTGAAGCTAGTTCCCAGTTAATATACCCAAGTTTGGTATAATGTAATTTGGCCATCATTTTACATACAAAACACTTGCATCTTCTTACCTCACTATATATACCGTTCAACGTTACATAACTCGCATACAGAACACTCACATGCAGTCCAATAGTTCTGCATGTAAATGATTCCTTTTTGTGTTCCCAATTATCCAATTCATCGATTGTATTTTAGGAAAACGATCTAAAAAGGAGAAGCTGGTAAAAATTTGAAAACGATAAAACTGTTAATTTAATGTACAGTAACAGAGTCGATAGACTAGGTGAGGATACATATTATGCACCGACTACATATGCACACAGACATATATATACTGAGTTATCAACAAATCTAAGAAAGTCAACCCTACATGCCTCCCCTTAACTGGCTCAAAAAAGATATGGAGGCAAATTACAAACAAAGGAATGATCTCCTAGCAATTCAAAATTTAAGATATCCCCATATGTTAGCAAAGACCGCTAACAAGACCATTACAAAGGCAGAAACTACAAAAACAGAAGACCACACAGTGCGATTGGAGGAAGCCTTTGATATGTAAGGCACCCTTCTTTGCAATAAAACCTCTTTTAACCCCAAGGTGGAACCTGCATTGGCAACTTGTTGAGAAATCTTTCTACTGTCGGTTGATTCAGGTGTCTTGTGCAGTTCATTCACATTATCAGCAACAATCGCACTTTCATCATCACCATGATTTTCTGAAGCTTCCTTCTCCTACAAAAGAGAAACAAATCTCACAATACATGCAGAGACAATCTCTTAGATATGCAAGCTAAATATAAAAAAACTTACCACTGCCACCGTCTCATTCGAGTTATCCGTCATCCTTAACAAACGAATTCTCCTTTGTGCAGTACCTTGCGCCATGATGTTTATGTTTGGCTGTTCATTTCGTACCTGCCGACTCCTTCTTTTGATTCCAGTATCATCACTAGCAACTGGATTATAGTTTCTTGGTTGCTCATAAGCATTGAATACATTGTACACTTGATCCATACTAACATCAAACGAGGAAGCCATCTGGGAATTGTTTTGAAATAATCCAACATTGCTATTCTTCTCACCCCCACTACAGTCAAAGGTTTTGCCTATGGTTTTGCAAAATTCTGGAGTTGGCACCAAAGGAATCTTTCTGTCACTTGCCTCCTCAGGATAAGCATCTTGCTTACACTGCAGCATACAATAAGACTAACATTATACAGGAGAGGAGACACAAGAAAACCATGCTAAATTGTTATACCAGCTAACACATAAACTACCACATGTTACTTTCGTGGCAGAACCTACCCAGAATGACCAAAAGAAAAAATAGCATTAGAGCTGTTTACTCACTGTCTTATTGACTACTTCCACATCTGAATCACTGCCTGATCCATTGTCCTTAACATTAAACAAGGGAGAGCTCTGCTGTTGGCTGCCAGACTCCGCATTGGAGAGTTCATCCCAATTAAAAAATGAATCAAAAACGTCCGAAAAATGTAAATCATTTGTGCCATATTGAAGCCCCCAACGACCATCTGACTCATCGTTTGCTTGAAAATTAAATTCTGGTGGAATGTGCACAAGTTCTGGGGAAAATAATTTGCCATCAAATAGCTCGTTCTTTGGGTCATAATATATGTCATATTTCAACGGCTGACCCTCCTGTAGGAAGCATAAAGTATAGGTTCAATAATTCCAATGTATGTAAAATCAAGTCAGGGGGAATTAATATAGAAGAAAGAAAGAAATCTATCTACACATATATAGTAATTGACTTGAGTCCAATAAATACTATTATCAATCTTTTAAGTAGCTCCAAAACTCTCATAATTTTAAGATAGGCATATTGAACATAAACATAAAACTTGTATTCTCATTATCAGCTTCTCTCTTTTTTAGCAAACAAAGATTGCACTCACTCTTGCTAATAAAGGTTGAAATCACTTTCAACGATCCTCTTAAGTAGCCTAAATACTCCATCATGATTTTAAGATACGTAATATGTTTTCCTTGAAGAACTAAGTCTGAATAGGGAAGAGTAAAAAGCAAAGTATTATATTTATGTATTCCAATTACAATCCTCTGATAACTAATAATAATAGATTATAACTCAGTTAGTCCATCTAACCTCCGCAGCTGGATCTACAATTTGATTTTGTGCATCATAAGCATCACATCCGTCACTATGGCAATCAACAGGGGTTATAATGTTGGATATTGTTTCATCAGAGATCTCAGGGATAACTGCCAGGTGCTTATCATCATCCGTAATCTGTGACGGAGATACTGCAACAAGAGCTGGATCAGATTGTATTTCTTCAGGAGAGTCCTTAGCAGCCAAAGGATTTGAAGCAGTCTGCTCCACTTCATCACAGTTTGAAACTTCAAGACTCTCATCTTGTTTCTTAAATAATCGACAAAGGACATACGCATTCTGGTACAAGTCAAATAACCAAATTGACAAAATTAGCAGCGCCATGGCAATTAATAAATACAAACTTGTAGAAATTAAACGAGAAAAATGAAAAACTAGATCACCAAGAACTTTAACAACCAAATAACTATATAAGGGGAATTATTTCAGATAGACATAAACATCGACTGTGTATCAAATTTAAATCAAAGAATTTTCAGCTTCAGCTTACATAAAAAGATAATAAAAAAAAGGAGAAGAGAAGAGAGTGGACCTGTCCAGGATTGGTACCATCAAGTTCCTTGAGGGTGGGTCGGTACTCATGCATAACCCAATTGGTCCTCTTCCCTTTAGGTGCACGACCAGTATAGAAGACTAAAGTCTTCTTCATCCCAATCAAGCTTGAACAAGACTTGATTTGACGATCCTTCCCTGTTGCCTTCCAATAACCATGAGTAGTTGCTCGGTTCAATCGATGCCCATTTGGATACTTGCGGTCCTGAGGACAGAAGAAGAACCACTCTGGATCCTTGTTCCGTATCACTGACAAATCTACAACACGCACACCACCCAAAGAATTAAAAAATAATCTCAACACTCATATCATTATCAATTACTTAAATCAACAAAAATAATCTCAACCTATGACATGCATATAAAATTCAGAAATTGAAAACAGTAACCTTTAAAATTTTCAACTTTACCAAATCAACGACAGATAATGATTGTAAAGAGGTTCAAGAGAAAGAAAAGAAAATACCAGGCAAATCCCAGGGTTCCCACTTGCAGACATCAATCTCTCGAATAACCCAAACCTCGTCACCATTTCCGTTGATCTTCTGTCGCAGGTAGTAATCGATGAGTTCCTCATCCGTAGGCCGGAATCGGAAACCTAAAGGCAGAGAATTCAGAGACAACACCGCCATCTCATCCTCACGCGATGGATAACAGTCAACCGCACCCATATACACACACCCAAGCAAAGATCAAATTAAAAAAAAAAAATAAAAAAATAAAAAGCAAAGGGATAAGCTTTGAAAAGACCCTCGATCAATATAAAGAAATAAACCTAAGCAGAATTTGAGAATCAAAGGAATAAATCAGAAGATTTTAGGATGTTATGGCCCATAGCTTTTTCTCACTTTTTTTTTTTTTTTTTTATCTCAGGTAAAGGAGAGAGAAACACGACCAAGCTAGCTAGTATGAAGAGAGAGAAAGGTTCAGTGACAGTGTTAGTGACTCTTTCTTTGCAGCCCACAATTTTTATCGATTTCACGTAGGAGAAACCGCGTTTACATTCCTCGTAGATTCCGTGTGCGATGTTTTACCCTCGCTTTTTCCTAGAAACTACGGTAATGCCACTAGTGTCTCCTGTTTGGAACTTGCAGCACAAGGCAAAGGTCGGGGGGGTAAATGGGAATGAGAATTATGGGATGGTTGATTGGTCAGAATCACTGTATAAGTTAGTGGAAAAAAAAAGACATGTTGTCCAGCACATGAGGATAGGACACGTGTCATAAAAATGCAGAACGGGGCCCACATTTTCCGTGCTGAGTAAGGAAAGGAAACGGGAGTTAAAGACTACAAAAATAAATAAATAAATTGTAAAAATAAAATAAATAAATACAGAAATCGCCACGTCATTGTTTTTCTCGGTATCATCTTCTGATCTTCTTCCCCCTCCACTATGCGTTATATCCTTCGGGTTCTTTTCACTTTTCAGCTTTTCCGCCTATTATATGAAAATGTTAAATATTGTAGTCTTTGTTTACTGTTTTTGAGACGTTTTATCGATTTATTTATTGAGTATAGCCTATGGTGGAAGGCTCTATAAAGGAAAAAGCGATTTATTTGACGCACAGTGCCTGCAGAGTTAATGCTGGATTCCATTTAAAAAAAAAAAAACAGGAAATAAAATTTTGTTAAATTTAGGATTCCATATTTATTGTTAAAATAAATTATTTAGTCACACATTTAATTTGAGATCCTGACTTTTCCTAAGTTAGGTTACATATATAAAAAAGTTATGATTGTAAATTCATTTTGTTACGCGCGTGAAGTTAAAAAAATCATGTTATTCAATAGAAAGTTGTGTGAACAAATTTATGAAGAATTTACTTTTTCTTTATTATATCCTAACTCTACCATTTCAATATAGTACAAGAGAGGGTGATTATATTTTTAAATATAGTACTCAAGTGGCAAAATGCATGAAATATTCACTTTCATAACTTTCTTTTAATACATAAATATATAGCATATATTTTACAAGATGTAAATTTAGTTTTAAGGAGTAAACTTTTTTGGTTTAAAAAAAAACAAAGAACAAAATACGATTTAATGAATTGTAGAGTTAATTATATTTCTTAACTAATTATCTCAGGTTACTAAGTATTAATATTTATTATTTATTATTCATATTTTATATGTGTTGTGTGGATATTAATTTTGTTTAGATAAAATTATGACAATTAAATTTGAACTTATAATAACCTCTTTCAAACTACCAAGTCCCTCGCCATTAAATCACTTCTAGCGGCTTGTGGAGATATTAGTACAGTTACAAATATAATTGACCAATAACGTTAAGTGTTTTATAGATGGGGTTTTTTTTTCTAAAGTTATTTTAGATAACTTTATCTAATGTTCATCGAAAAGACGTCGTTTTAGAGCGAAAATCATGGTATTTTTGATTTATTTCAGGATTATAATAGTTTTTATCATTTTAATTTTTAATTTTTCAATCTCAAAACGACGTCGTTTCGATGACCATTAGATAAAGTTGTCTAAAGTAACATTAGATACTTTTTTCCCTTTATATAAATAGTAAATAAATGAAATTAAATTCATTTTACTTTTTTATATTTATTTTACCTATTTCTCTCTAGTATTGTTAGATTACAATATCAAATGATATTTACATTTTATCTCTCCTCCCACTAAAATTATGATCTAATAATATTAGGGAAAAAAGTAAAATAGACATAAAAAAAAGGGTAAAAGATATCTCCAGTCAATAGAGATAAGTTATCTCTAGTGAGCCCAAAACGACATTGTTTTGGGGTAGAAATCAAAATATTTTTATAATTATAATATATTGCAGGGTTATATTAGTCTTTATCATTATAATTTTTTAATATTATAATTCCAAAACAACGTCGTTTTGATCTCACTGGACCGGTGACTGAAGAAATACTTTTTCCTAAAAAAATAGATATAATATCATTTTTCATATATATGAACCTTTTAATTTAATACATTTAATGATTATAGGACATTTTTTTATCGAAAATAAATGTTAATCAAGTGAATATAAAATCAAGTGGGTTCCTAATAAACCGTGCTGCATAAGAGCATATATCCTGAAATATGGAGAAAAACCAAATCCCACCAAAAGCCTCAAACAAACCAAAGTTCTAAGGGGATCATAAAAACATCCTTCCCTCCATTATTGCCTTGAACCCCAAAATCAAATCCCTACTTTAACCGCTTTTTTTTTTTTTTTTTTGGTACATTACAAGAGGTATTCCCATTCAACATTCTCCAGGCACTAAGCTTTGCAACCGGAGAAAGGACGAGACTAATCCCCCAACCGAAGATTTTTGGCTTATCCCCTGCACCAAGCAATCCCTTGGAAGCTCAACTGCCAACTCACCTACCGTTGAGGTTACTTTAACCGCTTTTAAGAACACATTTTGTATGCAATGAGAGTACCTGTCTTATCTAAAAGGGAAAAAAAAATAACATAATTATATTATTATTTTATATTTAATAAAAAATGCACCGAGTGTTTGGTACAATATTGAAAATATTTTTCAATTTCAACTTCTCCTTTCAAACAAACACATATTTCATCCCCAACACATGAATCAAACAATGCATTTGGAGTCCAGGAGGGCTTAGCGGGGATTCCTCAATTTCATACAAATCTTTATTTTAATCCTTATTCAAACTTATAAAAAAAGGTAATGTATTATAAATTAAGTCCCATTAAAATCAATCTTATAACTTTCAACTTTCCCATTCTCGTGTACAAAAAACATTTAGAAAATTCTTCAAATCTAACTACATATCAATTCACTGTCATAATAAACAACAAAATTAAACACCCAACACATCACTCCCCTCTATTAGCATAATAAGCGAGAGTTATATTAGTACTAGAGCGCGTTAAAACTTAAAATCTTCAATGCTTGTATAATAATATTAAAAAAAAAGTTATAGCATAATAAAAAAAGACAGATATTCTTTGTATAATAAACTATAAATCTATAATATTAGGTTTAGCATATACCACAACTCAGATTACCCTTTTTATATCATCAGTTTAGTCCAAATCGAGTTAGTTTAGAATATGTTGAAGGAACGAATTTAACGTATGTTGGAAAAAGTGCAAACCATGAAAGTGTTCTATAGAACTCTCAACTTTGATTTCTTATATTTTTTCCCCTCCTGTAAAACGGAATATATTCTTACTTCTTTTAGGATAGTTTTTAGACCCATATTTATGCACTTAATGGGGATATATTCCGTAAATTGACACCTGAAAAATGAAATTGGATTTAAGGTAATATTCGTTGACATTCGGATGATTCGTCTCAATACATAATAGAATCTGATGATTATGTTTCTTCAAGAAAAAGCATCACAAGTCTTCTTCTTTTTTTATTGGTGAAGATTAACACTGTTGCAGAAAAATAAATACGGAAATAAAAGATAACTTTGGAATGCTAAGATTATTTACGCTAAGATTATCATTTCACTACAATTACTAATTATGATGAATGTCAATCATTCTTTATTAATATTTCATCGATTATCGTATTGTATATAAGTTTTCTCTTTCAAATCTAAAAGAATGTGTTAAGATTAAAATAATATTATTCTCATGGCTACCATATTAATCAAACCCGATTAAATCTAGTGATATCCATTAACTTCAAGGATTAGCTTATCTTAGGACCTAACTTTCAAGTTTAGTTATTAGAATTCCAATATTGGGATTTCATCTCTTGATTTGTCACCCAAATATAATATACCCACCTATGACAAGTAGTTACATTAAGAATTAGTACATTCACTTTAATAAATAATAAAATCAAATATTTATCACAAAATAGTAGAAAAACTACGGATTTGGATCCTCTCGTATTTAAAAGTAGTCGTGTTATTTGATCATAACCACTTAATCAAAAATCACACACTTTTCTCTCTCTTATCTCATCATCAATGAGTGGTTGTGATCAAATAATATAACCACATGACTACTTTTAAACATGAGAAGATCTTAATCCGAAAATTACCTATTATTTCTAGAAAAAAAAATTCTCCAGAAACATTAAAACACTCATAATTTTAACGATGAAAAGCAAAACATAAATATATTCTAAAAATGAATAAATGGAATGAAAAATACTAGTGCATTGCCAAATTTTATTAAGATGTTCCAAAAAAATAAAAAATTATTAAGATTTCTTTTTTTTTTTTTCTTTGGTTTCTAGTTACAAGTTTCTCTTTAGGGTTCTATAACTGTATTTTTTTAAGGGAAATATTTTTCTCATGTTGCATGAGACAATTTGTCTCATGCAACGTACAAAAAAGTGGATAGGACCCACAAAGAATATGAGAGAGAAAGAAAAAAATAGGTCTCATCCATTTTTTGTGTATTGCATGAGACAAATTATCTCATGTAACATGAGAAAAATATTTCCCTTCTTTTAATCACAAGTTTTCCTCTATGATGGCCTTATGCCCTCTTTGGTCTTCTAATATCATTTATAAACTATGTTTAAGAGTTATTGTTCTTGATTTATTTAATCTTTTTGGTGAATGGGTCTTTAACTCTTTGATTGTTTTAATGAAAATTAAAACTGCTTTGTTATTATTTTTTTTTAAATTTAAATGTGCTCAAATTTAAGATTTGAATAATTTTTTCAAAATTTTTATGCTTAAGGGTATCTCTAAATTAATTTGATGTAAATTGTTTTAAAATACACTTACAAACTCAACTAAAACAATAACATAAATGAAAAAGTAAAAAATTTAAAATTTAAATAAAATAAACTAAAATTAAATAAAAATACTAACATAAAATTTGAAATATATATACGTATAAAACATATCAAAATAATAAAGATAGAATAGTTTAACCCCTTGTATAGATTTAACTTGAGAGGAAAACTTGATGAAGGATAATGAGTAAGGTAACCCCTTCTCTCCGGA